CTGGGGCAGGGGGAGGGCAGGTAGGGTTGAGGGTGCAGCAGAGGACACGGGCTGGGGCACCCCCCAAGAGTGGCACAGTCCCCTGGGCAGGAAACCCCCTCTGCAGCGGCTGTTGTCATGCCCCACTGTCCAAAGGGCCTGGCTCTGCCCACTGGCCATTGGCAGTGTGGCCCAGCCCTGGCACACATACCCACAGACAGGTTATTTTTGGATGGTGACAGCCGAGATCTTCTGGGGGAGGGGCAAGCTCAAGCCTAGGCTGGTTTGCCATCCAAAGGGCTCCTGCCCCTTGACCCTTTCTTCCATCTTCTCCCCAACCAAGCAGACCCAGGCCCAGGGTGCGGCAGCGCTATGGGGAGAGGCCAGGCCTCTGCTGGTGAGGCCCAGGCAGGCAGCACCGTGACCAGCCAGACCTGGTCCCCACAACGCCCCTGGTTGGGGAGACGGACAGTGGACAGATCATAAGATAACTGCCACCTCAGCATTTTGGGGTGACAGGGCCTCCAGGGTCCCAGAGAGGCCTGGAGTTTTGCATAGCCAAGGACAGAGGGGCAGGTGGACGTGTGGACAGAGGGAGACGCAGAGGGCACACACAGAGTAGCCGAGGCAGGAGGGAGAACACTTGGAAAGTTTGAGGAACACAGAAAGGGAGGCCAGGTGGCCAAGGCCCAGGCCAGGGAGGGGCTAAGGAGAGGCCAGAGGGAGCCGGCAGGGAAGCACACAGCAGGTGAAGGTTTGGCTTTGATCCCAAGAGACAGGGAAGGATTTAAACAGGAGTGTGATGCTAAATGCGTCCTCCTGGCTGTGGTATAGGGACCAGCCTGAGTGAGGCGAGAATAGGCACACACTGGAAGGGCAGCTCCACCGTAGCCACGTGGGCCAGAGTGTGGAGAGAGAAGAAGGAACATGGGGTGGAGGGGCGTCCAGGGAGGCTGGGAGCAGCCAGGACTGCAGTCATGAGAGCTGGAGGGTGCCTGGGAGAGTGGTTTAGCCCAAGACAGAGAACAGGGTCCTGTGGGCTAGGGGCCACCAGATGGATGGACTTGGCCTCTGTGGTACGGGGACCCGCCTGGAGACGGCAGGACTGGGGCCTGTGGCGGAGCCTCCTCCCCCGCTGAGCAAGGCACATGGCCTTGCAGGGCCTTAGTCCCCCAGGAAGATGCCTTCCAGGGGAAGACCCGAAGCCGCAGGCCAGGAGCCCAGGGGGTGGACCCACAGGCACAGGGAGCGGTGACTAAAGAAAAGCCCTGGTGGCCAGGTGGCTCACATGTCATCCCAGCACTCTGGGAAGCCAAGGCGGGCGGATCACCTGAGGTCGGAAGTTCCAGACCAGCCTGACCAACATGGTGAAACTCCACCTCTACTAAAAATACAGAATTACCGGCTGGGTGTGGTGGCGCATGCCTGTAATCCCAGCTACTTGGGAGGCTGAGGTAGGAGAGTTACTTGAACCCGGGAGGAGGATGTTTCGATGAGCCAAGATTTCACCATTGCACTCAAGCCTGGGCAGCAAGAGCGAAAATCCATCTCCAAAGAAAAAAGAAAAGCCCCCGGCTCTTGGCTGGACAGGGGCAAGGCACAGGCAGGTGAGTGGGTGGGTGGGGTCAGGGGGCCGCAGGGGAGGAGCTGGATAAAACCAAAGGTGGGGAAGGCTGCACTCCTGGGACAAGGCCTGGGTGTGACTGGGAGGTGGTGAGATGGGGGCAGGACTGCTGTCCACCACAAATGGACTTCACAGGGCCAGGGGGGTGAGCTGGGGTCAGGGTGGGCATGGGAAGCCTCAGAGAAAAGCACCCACTCAAGGGGCTGAGGTAGTGGTGGGGGCAGTTTGCTGGTAGACGCAAGGACTCATTCTCCCAGGGTGCTGGTGGCTTGGATGACTCAGGAGGGTCCAGAGCGTGTGACCCTGGAGCTAGGGTCCAGGCGCCCAGACAAGGGGCAGGGCAGGAGTGACATGGGGGGCAGTGGACAAGTGGAACTGTGTCCAGAAACGGGAGCGCCCCTGGCAGAAAGGTAGGGCTCTCAACAGCCAGCCACGGCCATGGCAGAGGCCCAGGGCAGCTGTGCATCTCACGGGGCTCCTGAGGGCCCAACACTCTCCCTACGTTCTGGACGCGCCCCCTCTCCCCTCACTGGGTCCGAAACGGAGTGGGCTCCACAGAGGAGCTGGAGAGGGGTCCGGATGGGGAAGAGGAGAGGTGCCCCTTCTAGGAAAATCGTCCAGCCGGGAGCATCCTCTCACCACGGGCTTCCTGGCTGGGGGCAGGGTTTGGCATGAGAGCTGGAGGATCCCCTGGGCCTGGCCAACTCGTGTCCCCTGACCAGGGCCTGGCTGAGGCGCGGAGTTGAGGGGCTGAGTCCTTCCCGGGGCTGGCAGAGAAGGGGGAATCGCCTCCCCAAGACAGGGGCTGGGCCCTGCTCTCCTCCTCCCCTGGGGATCCCCGGTCCGGTCCCCGCCCCGCCCCGCAGCCGCCTGCTGAGGGGGCGTCGCTGGGTGGGGAAGCCGAGCGGGGCCGCACGACTCACGTTCTCGTGGCGCATGTGCTTGAGCAGGCGCAGCTCGCGGTACGCGCGCTTGGCGAACAGCTCGGACTGGAAGGGCCGGTACAGCTTCTTGATGGCCACCTTGGCGCCGGTGCGGCTGTCCACCGCGGAGCTGCGGGGCACACCGCTTAGCGGGAAGGCCGGCCACCCCGCGCAGGCCCCGCCCGCCCCGCCGGCCGCCCATCCGGCCCGCGCTCACCACACCGCGCCGTAGGCGCCCGAGCCCACGGGCTGCAGGTCCCGGTACACGACGCGCACCTCCCAGGCCGTCTTGGTCACCTCCTGGCGGTAAAAGCCGCTGCGGGCGGGCGGCGGAGAGCTCATGGCAGGCCCGGGCGCCGCCCACTCCGCAGAGCCCGCGGGCGGTTCCCCCAGGACCGGGAACCCGGGATCGGCGGGGCTCCCTCGGCGCGCGCCCCGGGCCGGCTCCGCGCGGCTTGTCCGCCCGCCCGCCGCTTGGGCGCTCCTGCTCCCGGCTCTTCCCGCAGGGATGTCCCAGGTGCCAACCCCTGCGCGACCCCAGCCCGGACCCAGGCAGCGCACGGCCCCTCCCCCGCCCGGGGACCAACCGGCCCGCGGGCCGCGCGCACGTGATGCCCTTGTCCGCCCTCCCGCCCCTCCGGAAACCCGAGGCGGCCGCCGCCGGGGGAGGGCCGGAGCCTGGGGGGAAGCGCAGGGGGAGGGGAGTGCCGCCCCGCAGCTTCGTCCGGACCTAGGGCCGGACGCGGCGCGGAGATACCCCTGCCAGCCTCTGCCCTTTGGCTGAACTTCCCTGCCTTGGGGGATGAGGAGGGGAGTTCTCAGCAGGATCCCCGCCGGGCGCCAGTCCTCACTACCCACAGTTCAGGGCGCTAGGCCCATCCGTGACAGCCTGAGAATCGACTTCTGTCCGCAGCTGCAAGTCACTGTCCGCCTGCCCTGAGTTCCCTAGGCTGAGCCCTGTGTTCCCAGGTTCACCCCAAGGATGCCCTGCCTGTGCCTGACCGTCGTCCCCGAACGTGGGGTCCACCTGCACCTGTCCTGCCTGCATCCCTCTGTCTCCCAGACGCCTCAAGCTGCATCCCCAACCCCACTGCTGTGGCCACTGACCCTGGGCCTCCCAGTCCCATAGGTCCCCGTGGGCCCTTTTGCACCCCAGCTCCTCCCCCTCTCCTGTCTGTGGGGTGCCTTCTCCAAGCATTGCAAGTGCCAGTGCACCTGCGTGTCCCACCCCTGCCTGTTCTGTCCTGCAAAGCTCATGGCTGCACTCTCCTGCAGGGACAGGCACCTGCTGGGCCCTCAAGCCTGTCCACTCCATGTGGGCATCGTCCTCCCATCGGTCTGGCTCCATCCTGGACCAGATGCTTCTCACCCTGACACCCCTTCCCCAGCCCAGTGATCTGGGTCTCAGGAAGGATGGGGGGCAGCCCTGGAACCCACTGGGCTGGTGGGTAGCAAGATCCCTAGGGCCCCTTGCCCTGCCCTCCTGCCACGAATCAGCAGCTCAGCCGCTCAAGGGTGGGAGTAGCTTTACACCTGGGCTTCGGGCCGGTCTGTGGCATTCACCAGCTGCTGACCAGTGAGCAGGGGTAGCGGAGCTGCCCAAACCACAACTGCCTGTGGCCTGCAGCCTTTGTGCCCTGGGCTGCCGGTGGCACTCCATCCACCTCTTCCAGGAAGCCCTGCTTCCACTGCTGTCCCCCTTACTCCCCGTGGTGGGGCTCAGGGGTCCAGCAGACCCAACACAGACCAGGTATCTGAGGTGGAGCTGTGTCCCCATTCTGCTCCCACCTCCCACCCCAACACTGGACTTCCCCAGGACTGAACACTACACTGACTAGGCCCCAGGAGACCCCAAACTCCCAGACAGTTTCCACCCCCCACACAAGACCCAGGCGAGGGCACAGGCTGTCCCTGGCCCCCGGAGATGCTGCCTGACCCAGCATGGCCTGGACCCTCTCCCACATGTAAGCTACCGGGTAGAGTGGGAATGGGACCATCCCATACATCCCTCGGGTTAAAGTGGCCCCTTTTTCCTTCACCAGAAAGGAAAGGAAAGCTATTTTCCTTACCCTGCCCAGCCTCACCCCACCAGGGATAGGCAGACCCTTACTCCCTAAGACACCCAACTACCCCCCAGCCAGCCTCCCTGACCACTGTAGGGAGGGGGGGGTTCTGGATCTTGGCCAGAAGCCAAGCCTGCCCAGTACATCCCCATAGGGCAGCTGGGGTCACCATCTGGGTGGCTGTCACACCCTGTGCCCACAGAGCCTGCCCATCAGCCATGTCTTCCCTTGGTCCCCCGGGCTCAGACCCTCCAGGGAGCAGGGAGGGTGCCAGAAGATGGCCGCTGTTCTGACTGAGGGACTGAGGGATCTGGCCAGCTGGAGACAAGTGATGAAGAGTGACCCAGACACTCCCGCCACCCCCAGCAGCAGGGATGGCAGGGCAGCAGGGCCTGGAGTGGCCTTTGGATATGAGCCAAGCGAGAGAGAACCTTTATTGTGCACCCCTGGTGCAGGCACTTAACACCCAGGCTTCCCTGGGCCCCTCAAGGCAAGAGGTCACCGCCTTTCCAGGGAAAAGCCACACTCCCAACTCAGCTCTGAGCAGGGTCCCATCTCCGGGGTTACTGGATCAGCTCCATCCTGGGACAAGGAAAGAGGAGGACTGACCCGCAGACCAGAGCACCTCAGATCTCCGGCTGCAGGGCCACACGGCCGGCAGAGGTAGAAAGCGGGCCAGGGTGCTGGGGCAGGAGTGTCTGAATCCAAGTCCACATCGACGTGTTCGGCCTGCCTTAGAGTCCTCAAGGCTGAACCGCCCCCACCTCCAGCCTCAGGAACCTGCTATAGCTCCCATGTTCGAGGAAAAAGCCCCTGCCGTGCTCACGTGGTTGCCCTTCGGCCCACTGGAGCCTCTAGTCTGAATCGCAACATCCCTCAAGCATCAGGAACTGAGGGGAGGGAAGGCAGCAGCATGCCCGCCCCAGCTCAGGGTTCTCGCCAGACATGGCTGCTGCCCCTTGGATGCCCACAGATTCACATGCACCACATGTGCCCTGACATGAACACGGGGAGCGCATGCCCATCCACATATGCCCACACCCATGGGTGAACACAAGGCTTCAGGCAGCTTTTCTGTTGACACCTGGTGGTTGTCCCTGCCCAGCCTGATGGCACGCTGGCTCTGCCTCTCAAGACCTGTGGGTCTCAGCAGTGACAGGGCAGCCCCTACTTCTAGGCTGAGCAGCTCCAGCCACTGAGACCTCTCCCTTTGAGTCTCCAGGGTTCCCGGCCCCAGTGCGCCCTCCAGAGCCCTGGGACAGAAGAGATCCCTTGGCTGACACTCCCCGTGGGTCGGCCTAGGACAGACAGGGGTATTTCCCAGGGGAACTCCTTTAGCATCCAGGACCCCACAGTCAGGTCCCAGTGGAGAATGCAGTGTGGCCAGGAGGGGGCAGGAGGACCAAGGTAGGCCTAGGGACACTTGTGCCCAGACTCCTACACATGGCAAGCACATGTACACACATGTTTGTGCATGCATACATGTGTGTAGATGCTCCTGAAGGCAAGGGGTCCTAGGTCAGGAGTCAGTGACCATAGGAGTACGGGAGGCGCCTCTTGAGGAAGCCACATCAGCTGTGGAAAGGTGCAGGCCCAGGCCCGTTCACAGGCTGTCAGTGGCTACCGGGCAGCACCTCACTGCTCAATCTCCAGGCTGCCAGGCGGCTTCGGTGGCTCTGGGGGCTTGAAGCTGAGGACTTCCTGGTAGGTGAGCTCTGGGAGGTGAAAGGAAAGGGTAAGCTCGTGCCTCCCACAGCCCAGCCCCCCACCCGCTTGTCTGGCGCCTGCCACCCAGCCCAGGCCCACCACACTGTGACAGCAGCCTCAGCACAGAGTCTGGGAGCCAGAACCTGCCCTGTGCTACCCCGCAGCCTGTGCTGACACCTGCACGCCCTTCTACACCTGACCAGTCTGGAGAGGAAGTGGAGTACTTCCTGCCCCTGGGGTAATGCAGCCCGCAGGCCCCCGGACCCAACCCCAGCCACTGCCATGCCCACCCTTCCACTCCTCCACGGTGCGCTCCTTGGCCTCAACGCTCTCATCATACGGCTCGGCCTCTGGCTCATCCTCAGGGTCATGGTACTGGCTGAAGTAGGCGTGGGCCAGCGCCTCGGCCGCACTGACCCTCTGGTCACTATCCAGCACCAGCATCCTTCCAAGGAGGTCTATGGCTGCAGGGGAGCCAGTGGGGGTGGGGGTCAGCTCTACATCCAGGGCCAGATATGGAGCCCAGTCTAGCCCCAGGGCGGTCCTCACCCAGGGGGTTGGCTCCGTGGAAGATGCTGCTCAGGTCCTTCTGGGGCATGGGGGGCAAGGACTGGATGTATGTCCGGGCCTGGGAGCAAACAACACCACCTGGGGAGGCTGCTCACTCTTTGCCTCCCTGGCCCCAAATTGGGGCTTCTCTCAGCAAGCCACTACACTCATTCACTCCAACGAGCCAGGACAAGGGCATAGGCAGACCGGTGAACCCCTCTGCATAGAGCTGCTGGCTCTAGCTCCTCACTTAGCCCCTGATGCCTGCAGGAGCTGGGCACTCCTTGCCCCCAGCCCACCCCCACTGCCATGGCCAGGCACTGCTTGCCGGGATCATGGCTTAGCACCCACTGTCTCTGGTGTCAGGAATGTCTTTCCTGTTCTCCTGTTCCCCTGTTCCCCTGCAGGGATTGGGCACCTGCCCTGGGCTCTATCCCACCACGTCCCATGCTCCCCACATTGTCCCTGCATTTCAATACTACCCTCTCCCCCAGAGCCTGGGGGCTCAGCCAGCAGAGGGAGCTGCTGGCTGGCGGGCACCTACTCACGTGTTCTGAGGAGATCTTTGCCAGCACCTCTGGGCCGGGTGTGCCCACAACTTCCATGATGCGCTTCAGCTGGTCAATGTCTGCGTCACTCAGGAAACACCCACCGGCCAGCCAGGGACCTTTCCTGGGCCCTCAGACCCAAGATTTGGTGCACTGCCCAGAGCCCACTCTCTTACAGCTGAGGATGGCCACCCCAAAGTAGCATGGCATGGGGGTGGGCAGAGGAGGCGAGATCCACCAGAAGGGGCCAGCACCAGCCCCTACCCTATAGGAGGGGCCCCGTTTGACCCTGCTCCCCAACCTGAGCCAAGGATACAGTCACTTCCCGGGAAGAGGGCCTTGCCCTGGAGTAGCTCAGCCATGATGCAGCCCACGGACCAGATGTCCACTGTGTGAGGGCAGGGGGCCTCCGTCAGTGTGCCCACCCCACATTCCTCCTCCAGGAGACCCAAAGTCACGACCAGACCCCAAGACAGGTAGACCCCCTCCTCTGCCACATCCAACCCTGGGCAGGGGGAGGCAACAGCTGCAGGGCCAGAGGGGGCCAGCATCCATCATGTTCTAGCAGCCTCTGAAGGGCTGCTTTTGAATGTGGGTCCCACATTCTTGGGGACCTTGCCTGCCCACCAAGACCGAGCACGCAGGGCCAGGCCTTCCCCCTGCACCTGTCTGGTTGTAATGCATCCAGTTGAGCATGATTTCAGGGGCCCGGTACCAGCGCGTGGCCACGTAGCCCGTCATCTCTTCGTCTGCCTGGCGGGCCAGCCCGAAGTCCAGGATCTGGGGCGACCACGAGGTGTTTTCAAGCCCCGAACAGGCTCCGCCGCCACCCTGCCCACCCCTGCCCGCAGGCCTCACCCTGAGCTCACAGTCCTCGTTCACAGCCACGTTGCTGGGCTTCAGGTCCTGCAGGCCACGCCGAGCGTGAGCGCGTGAGCGTGAGCGCAGGGGGCCGGGCAGAGCCCTGCCGGACCCGACCCTCACCCTGCGGCCGCACCTACCCGGTGGATGATCCCGGCCGAGTGGATGTACTGCGGGAGGGGGTCGCGGTCAGCGCTGGGCCCAGCCCGCCCGCCCCGCGCGTTGGAAACCCACGAAGCCCAGGGCGCCCCACCTTCAGCCCGCGCAGCAGCTGGTAAACCAGGAACTGAACGTGCTCGTCGCTCAGCGCCTGGCACTTGACGATGTTGTTCAGGTCGGCGCCCATCAGGGTAGTCACCAAGTACCTGGGGAGGGGGGCGGTCAGGACAGGGCCCCGCCGCCCCTCCGCGAACGCGCTCCCCTGGGCGCTGCCTCGCCCGCCCTGCCGCTCACACTTCGCTGAAGTCCTCGATGGACGTGGCCGGCGTGAAGACATCCAGAAGCCCGATGACCTGGGTGGCGCGCGCGGCAGGGATCGGGATCAGGCGGCCGTTCAGCACCCCGGGCCCCGCCCCCGGCCCCGCCCCACGGCCAGTGCTCGCCCGCCCATTGGCTGCGCCGCGGCCCCGCCCCCGGCCCCGCCCGCCCCACAGCCCGCCCCCCGCTCACGTTCTCGTGCTTCAGGTGCTTGAGCAGCCGCAGCTCCCGGTACGTCCTGCGCGCGTGGATCAGCGACTGGAAGGGGCGCGACAGCTTCTTCACCGCCACCTTCTGGCGCAGCCGCGCGTCATAGGCCGAACTGGAAGGCGGGCGAATGAGGCGGCGCCAGGAGGGGTGCGTGGGCGGCGGCACGCGCGCACACGCGCTCCCGGCCGCACGCGCGTGTACCCCGGCCGCGCCGCCCCTCCGTGGGGATGGGGCCGTAGGGCTTTTCCGCCCCGGCCCCGCCCCAGCTCGGCCTCCGCCTTCGGGCCTCCGCGCTTGCTGGGAAGGACCCCTGGGGCTGGACCGCCAGGCCTGTGTGCAAGGTCCTGAACCTTCTCTGTCCCCTGGCCCCACCGATTCTCACCCCCAACCGAGGGCCCCCATTCAAAGCGAGGCCAGGAGCGAGGCCTCCCACCCAGAGTGGAAAAACACAGCAGGAAAACAGTCACTGGCGTTCGCCTGCAGCAGACGAGCCTCCCTCTGCGCCCTAGGCCCCATGGGTCCAGGAGGCTCACGGAGGAGGTTTCTAAAGCCACCTCAAAGCCCCTGGACCCCCAGTGCCTCTGAGTGTTCAAAATGCGGAGGAAAAGTTGGTCAGAGGTGTTTACTGCCTCATTATTTGTAACAAAACCTGGACGATAGGTGATGTCCAGCTGAGGGCATCTGCCCAACCCACAGAACAGCCCTTCGCCCAGCCCCACTTCCCAGGTGTCCAGACCCTCCACCCCGCGCCAGCTTCCTCAGCCCACCCTCCCTTTGCAGGTGGCCCTCGCCCCCAGCCTCCCCTGTCCCACTGCCCTCAGCCCTGCTAAAGGCAAGGCCTTTGCACAGCCCGTTTTCTCTGGCTGATACTTGTCCATTCTCTCCCTCCCAGTTCTGTCTCTTGGGATCCTGTCCAAGAGCAAGTGGAGGCTGAGGCCACACCCCATGCCCACACAGGGGGAGCAGGGGCGGCTCCTGCTGGGTCTGGGATGCTCCTGGGCCCTGTGGTTCAGGAAAGTCAACGAGGTGCCTGGGGCAGCCATGCCCCCAGCCTATGACCAGGGAAGGGTGCACCTGGCGTGGTGAGGGGAGTGGCCACACGTGGGCAGGAGGTTATTTTAGCCAATTGCATCTGTGCAGTCAGGTGACAGGCAATTGGCACCCGGTCCCCAGCCTTGGCAGTAGAACTGAGTAAACAGGGCAGGGGTGCGGGTAGAGGAGGGGAGACCAGGCCTCACTCGGAGAAACGGACACCCCTCAGCAACTTCCAGAAGGCAAGTCCCAGAGGCTAATCCAGACAGGCCCCACCCTAGTTCCCTGTGGCCACTCCCACACTGACCGGGACTCTCTTCCTGCCCTCGAGGTCACAGAGAGGAAGACAGATCTGTGCTGGGATGGCTAGCATGACCCACTTGCAGCTTCTGATGGAAGGGTAGGGACCCCACAAGAAGAGAGCCCGCCCTGGGACCCCCGGCCCCTGATGCCACCCGCTGAGCTCCGCCTCTGGTGGACCTAGAGGTCCCACTCCCAACCTGCAAGTGCCTGGAGAAATGCCCTGCCCTGGCTGCCTCTGCCTTCCGCCTAACCAGGAACCCACAGTGGGCAGCAGCATCGGGCACTGGCCTCCATAAGGACCCAGCTGCACCTCTCAAACCCCATACCTGTGGTCCGCCCCCCAGTCAACATGGAAGCTGCCACTTGGGACTCCCAGTAACCACCTCACCCCAAGCCCCTGCAGCCCGGGCTGCCTGGGTAACTAAAAGAGGCCTCGGCCCAGTCGGCCCCTCCCCCACCCTGACTCTGTCGTCTCTCTGGGCCCCAGGCCAGGTCCTCTGGCCCCAGGGCCTAAGTGGGGGTGGTGGTCTGAGAGGGAGCCTGAGGCCATCCCAGGGAACAGGTCTTGACTTCCGGGAACGGAGCTTCTTTTTTCAAACAATAGTCCCCGCCCCGGGCGGGGGAGGGGCATCCGCTAGACCCCGGGGACTGCCAGACCTGACCCAGTGAATCCCAGGTGGGCGCTCAGACATTGAGGGGCCTGGTCGTCCGGGGACTCGAAGCTCGGTCGCCTGAGACCCACCCTTACGCCGGCTGTGACCCTCAGGACTCAGGCCTAGCGGGGGGCGCTCCAAATTGGGAGCGGCGTCGGCTTGGAAAGTTTCTTTGCGCCACCCCCCATTCATTCCTCGGATCCGCGCGGTGCCCAGGGGCGGAGGCAGGGCGAGGCCCCTCCCCACGCCGAGAACCCCGCGCTGGCGAGGAGGGGGCGCGCTCTCCGGCCCTGCCCGGCCCCCACCCAGCACCCCCTCTGCCCCGTCCCTACCAGACGGAGCCGTAGGCGCCGGAGCCCACCGGGCGCAGACCCTGCAGCCGCTGCGGCACCTCCCACACGGTCTTGTTCAGCTCCTGCCGGTAGAAGCCGGCGCGAGGGCCCGACATGTCCGGAGCGGCTGCCGCTCCGCCGGTGTCCTGCCCCGCGCCCCGCGCCCCGCGCCCGCGCCGGAGCCCGAGCCGAGCGGAGCGGAGGGCCGCGGAGGCGGCGGCGGGCGCGGGGGCGGGGCTCCGGGGCGGGGCCGGGAGGCCCGGGCGGATTTCCCGGGCTGGGTGGCCTGGACCGGGCGGAGGGGGGGCGGTTCCCGGAGACAAATGCTCTGCTTCCTGCGCCTCGGAGGCGGTGGCAGAGCGGAAACCGGCCCTCCCTTTGCCGGGGGGGGGGCACCAAGGGCGGACACCTTCCTCCCGCTCGCATCTCCTGGGGGCCGCGCGCTTCCCCGGACTTGCACCGGCGTCTGGGCTCGACCCGGGCATCCCCACCCTGGCAGCTCCCTCCCCAACGAGGGAGAACCGTCAAAAGCCAAGAAGCCGGGGGTGAACCATGGGAAACATTTTCGTCAAGACAGAAATATGAATAGCATCACCTAAAGACTCGGCACTGGATAGAAAATCAGCCGAAAGAAAGGCGTTGGGACTGGGCCGGCCTGGCTTTCTCGCGCAGGACCTGCAGACCTTGATCCGCGGCACGCTCGGGAGAACCTTCCAGGTTTCTTGCCCCCGCTTGCCTTGACCTCGCCTCTGGGAGAGGCGCGACCGCCGGGCCAGGGCTGTCAGGACCAGGGACAGCGGCGTCACCGCGGGGCCTTCCTGCCCACACGCAGGCCCCAAACGGATCCTTTCTGGTGCACAGAACCTTTCCCCTCCTTAGCTGCCACCTCTTCTAGGAAGCCCACCCTGACTATCCCAAGTCCGAGAAGCGGCCTTTGTGCACAGGGTGTTGTGAAGTCAGCCCCGCGGGTGGCCAGGCGCGAGGAGCTGCCTTGGCGGGGACGTCCGCAGCGCCCCACTCCACTCCTCTTCTGCTTCTGGGCTGCGCTTCGGGACGCGTGATGACAGGGTCCTGTCTCGTCGCCCGCGCCACCCTCCACCCGCTGAGCGGCCAGGCCAGGGAGGCCGCGAGGATTGCAGGCGGGAGCCTTGGGGAAGCCTGACACCTTCCCACTGGAAAGTGGCGAAGGCTCGAAGGAGCGTTGCCTCCTGGAGCACCGGCCACTGACTTCCGCCCTGTTAGAGCAGTGGGTGGAGGGCTTTGTGGCTGGGCAGCCCCTTCCAGCGAGGTGAGAAATCAGGATCCCAGTGGCCCAAAAAACTTCTTTTTTAAAACATTAAAATCCGAGTTTTAATGTCAAATCTGATTTTTAAAAATCTGCAACCAAATTAAGACAGCGAACGCAGTCCTGGCGAACGGCCGCGTGTCCGGGACCAACAGGGACAGACCAGGAACAGGTCTCAGCCCAGTCCCTCTTGCATGACCAAGCCCCGAGCCGCAGTTTCCCCACTGGGAGCCGGCGTCCGGCCTGGGGCCCAGCACAGGCCTGGGGGTGGCCCCGCTCCTCTCTGGAGCTGGACTGGGGCGAGAACGCGGGCGGCCTCTCCGAGGGCTCCCGCCCCGGGGCGCCTTTCACTGGGCCCGGCCGAGGCGGGCCTAGGTTTTGTGCGGAGTTAATGGAGCTTCAGCTAAAGGAGGAGGAGGCGGGAGCGCAGCCCTGACGCTGTGGGAACCTGGGCCGCGCCCGCGGCCGCCGCCGCCGGGGGAGGGAAGCGGCCTTTGTCTGCGACGCGGCCGGGCGGGGCGGGAGCCGCGTTCCCCTGGTGACCGGCCGCGCCCCTGCACCTCCCCGGGCGGGGACGGGGGGGGGTGAGGTGGGGGGAGGGCTGGGCGGCTCCGTTCTCTCCCCTTGGGTGGGAGACAAGGGGATGGGAAGGCGTCAGGCTTCCCTCAAGGCTCCCGGCTGCAATCCTCGAGGCCTCCCTGGCCCGGCGCTCAGCGGGTGGAGGGGGGGCGCTGGCAGAGAGACAGGACCCTGTCATCACTGAGCGGACCTGCCCCTGGAACCCCTACCTGTTTGACCAGGCAGAAAAAGTGCTGCCCAGGTGCCTGCTGGGGATAGTGTGGGGTAGCAGCACTGCAGGGGAGTGGCCACTAAGGAGTTTCAGATGGCAAGAGTGCCTGGAGGCTGCCTTCCAGGAGAGCCTCCCTGGAGGGAGCCACCAGCGGAGGACAGTCCCAGGGCCAGAGGAGAAGGAGGCTGCTGGTGACAGGGCTGGCTTGGGGCAGGGGCGCTGGGAAAAGCATGTGGCAGGGCAGGGGTGAGGGGCCCTGGGGCAGAGGCACCTCCTACCCAGCTGACAAACTTGCCCCTAAATACAGCACACCACCCTTTCTCCGTGCCCACTGCGCTGTCCCAGGCCACCTTTCCTCACTGGAGGGGTGTGACAGTCCTCTCTGGTCCCCCAGGTCCCTCCCAGCTGGGCCTCTTCCTGCAGTGAACTTCCTAACAGACAAATTTGGCCTTGCTCACTGGGGGACCAGGTGATAGTGGGTGAGGAGCTGATTTAGCAGAGGACTTTTCTGCAGGTAAGAAGCAAGCAGGGTGTAGCCCTGGGCTGTTAAGCTGCCCACTGTCCCTCCTCCCACCACTCTGGGAGAAAAATGGGATTTGGAAAGCACACAGAAAGGACAGGCCACCCGTCTTTGGCCAGCTGACCACTTCAGCCCACCCACACGCACCCCAGCAGCTACGCCCAACTTCTACCCAGGGCCTGCCCCCACCTAGATGCCGGACTGCAGAGCCTGCAACCTGTCCCAACCCCAAGTTTCTCTGGGAGTGAGGGAACCCGATGTCATTTCAGAGGTCCCTGGAGCAGGGAATGTCAGTTTGCCTTGTACCCCTTTCTCTTGTGGGGGAGACACAGCCACCCATTTTTCCTCATGGCTTGAATGGAACTGCCCCAGTCCAAAGAGGACTCCATCAATGGAGGCCTTGCCCTTCAAAGAGACCCAGCCATGATGTGCCCCAGTTCGGGGGAGACAGGCTGGGGCTGCCAGAGAATGGATCCTAGCACATGGATTAGCAGTTGGGACCAGCAGAACCTCAGGATTTTCGCCTGGATCCAGCCACATTTGAAGCTGGGCCTTCACTTTGGGTCTGGAGCACCGAATACTCCTTCTGCCTGGGCTGCCTGTATCCCTGGCGCACAGGGGAGGCTCCGAACCTGCCTGTCCTGGTTGCTGCTGTCCCTAGCGCTCAGGACAGTGCATGCGTGGTGTGCAGCGGGCACTTGGTAGGAAATGTGTTGCATGAAAGAAGCAGGAAGCCATCAAAGCCACCAGATGGCACCAGAAGCAGTCCTACCTCCCAGTACCCTTCCCAGCTCTCCACCTCCCCCCCGCCCCCCCACCCCCCCCCCCCCCCCCCCCCCCCCCCCCCCCCCCCCCCCCCCCCCCCCCCCCCCCCCCCCCCCCCCCCCCCCCCCCCCCCCCCCCCCCCCCCCCCCCCCCCTCCCCCCTCTACCTCCCCCTACCTCCTTCTACTTTCCCCCAGCACCCCTCCCAGCCCACTCCACCTCCAACAAGCACCCCTCTACCTCCCCGCAGCCCCCCTCCTGGCACCCCCACTCCTATTAGGGCCCACAGAGACCAGGGAAGGGGTGGTGAGCAGCCCCAGGAAGAACTCAGCCAATCCGCAGAGTGAAAAAGACTGTATTTGATTTACAATGAACAAGATTTACAAAAAGGGGTGGGGTGATCTTGGTGGAGCTGCTCCCAGTCCCCCCAGATCCGGTGGGGCTCTAGGGCAGTCTGTCTGACAGACCAGGACCCCAGGATGCCTGGGCCCTGACACAGGACGCCCCACTTGACCTATGAGGTGGAGCCCAGCAGCTGTGAGTCCACCCAGAGTGCCGGAGTCTACCCAGAGTGCAGGCGCCCTCAGGGAGGCTGGTGAGGTCAGGAAGGCATCGTACCGCTTTTTCTCCTCCTCCCATCCCATGGTGGACAGACAGACAGTGTCTGGGAACTTGCCCTGGGGGCCACAGGCCCTCAGATTCCCCGGGGGCCCAACCCAGGGCATGGAGGTGGCTGCTGGTGCGTGGGTGGAGGCGGAGGCCTGCTGCCCCCAGCGTGGCAGCGTAAGGCACATTTGCGAATCGCTCGAGACTGCACAGTGAACACCGATGCTGGTTCCGCCGGCGGGAGCTGGGGCTGGGACTGGGGCTGGTGTGGCGCCGGTGGTATTGCTCAGAGGAAGATGCTACAGTCTAGGCGCTGGCTGGGTCCCCGCTGCACCCACTCTGGTGAGGGGTGAGTTCTCTAGGGGAGGATGGGGCCTTCGCCACAGCCACTTGGCCTCCTCCCCCAGGGGCGCTCAGGTATCTCTTGTACCTGTGCCCCAAGGCAGCACTGGAGGTCGGGGTCAGAGGTCAGTGACCTTGTTCTCCAGTGCAGCCGCGATCTGCTGCAGGCGGAAAGCCAGCTGCATCTTCTGGGCGGCTGGGTCCTCCTCCAAGGCATTGATGACCTGAGGGAGGGTCCCATCAGAGCACATCGGGGGCGCGCCCGCACCCCGCAGCCTTCCCCGCACCCGAGGGGCTGACCCTACCTCATCATAGTACTTCTGTGTGTACTGGTAGAGCTGGTGCAGTGCCACGAGTGTGTTCAGGGAGTCTGTGTGCGCCTGGGGGGTGATGGGATGGTCAGGGCCAAAAGGGGGCTGTGGGAGCCCCGGGGCTGGCAGGGGTAGTGCCGGATGCCCAGGACAAGGGGCGTCCGCAGGGTCGCAGCTGGGGCCTGGGGCACAGCTGGCACTTGGGGGCCTCCACGCGGCACAGCCTCAGACAGACACCCACGCAGAGTCGTGACAGGCAACCATCTCAGTGCCTCCCTGTGCCACGCACGCTGAAGACGGAGCCGCAGGGAGGGGCGCTGCGCGGGGCTGGGCGTCAAGCAGCCCAAGTCCCCACACCACGCAGCTGCAGCCACTTCACATGGCCGGGCCCACCTCGAGGTCCCCCCCCAATCACACCATTTTACCCCTGCCCTGCAGCTCAGGGCCAGGCTCAGCATAGGGTGGTGGGAGCAGGGAGCAGGGGAGGCCGTGGGTGCATCCCTGGTGGCCTGCTTACCCGGGAAATCTCTGCCAGGTGTGTGTTCATGTCCTGGTCACTGACCTGCACCATCTGCCGGATGCCCTTGTAGTAA